CCCTCAGGCTGCTCTTACTCCTTCTTGCAGCACATCTAAAACCTGGCCTGGCGCAGAAGGGGTGTCCATAGCAGGCTAAAATGTTACCAAGTTCCAAACTTGATGCCAGCCATTAAATCAGTAGGACCCTTTCAATAATAGAGCAGAGATTGACTGAGAACTTAGGGGAAAACCAATTTTCCATCAAAGTCAAAGGGGAAACTGCTTTAACATTAATGAAGCTGCATCAAGCATAGGGAGACAACAAAAACCACCTACGTGACACAGTGCCATTTCTGCAGACAAATGTATTTTAGTGTGGTGAAATGGGACTGGACTAATTGGACACTGAACACCTCTGGGTAAGCCATTTCCAGGGAATATGACCTCATGGCTTTAAAACAATATTAGGAGACTCCTGAGCAATGTCCATCAGCATAAATTATCCGCACACTGCATGCAGATGGCCCAGGCAGGCTTTGAGAGTATCCTCAATGTAACCTGCTCCACTTTCCCCACACTACTTGAGACACAGTCTTAGAGGAGCAGTCCTTGGCAGGAGAATTTAATCTGTGGTATCTGGATTGGCTAGAGTGTGTCCCACGATATTGATATCCCTCTCTTCCTGACGTAGCATAATTGAGCCACTTGATCTATTTTAATGCAGTACAAGCATCCTACATCCTCTGCTATTAGGATGTTTTATTTGTCATTTGTTTATAATGTTAAATTATTTATGCTATTGAATGTATTTTTCTGAAGAGATGTATTTTAATGGAGGTACTTGTACCTTTCTCTAACCATTAAAATCAATCCACAGGATAGGATGAGTCTGCACTTCTCAGGATTCAAGAGCACTTCTGGTTTTCAGCCATCATGCCTCCCTCCTCTTCACTGCTTAAGTATTCTTGGCCACTCCTGTCTGTTCTGACAACCCCCACGTGTGCCACAATTGGCAAGGCAATGCCAGTGATAAAGCTGTGCAGGACCACCATTGCACAGCTCTTCTCTTTCCGCAATGTTATCATCCTCATTTACAACTGAAGCATGGTTTTGTCTATTTCCCATGCCTTCCATAGGTGTAACAAGCAACTGAAGGACATTGTGGTCCTTTAATGCATGCCTCTGCTTCTATGTGATCTAAAGTAGTATTTCTAATTGGGAATCTAACACAGTTTTGCAACAGGTTACTCTTTAGAGGAAGCACAGAACCCCCCTATTTCTCCTTTCAACCGGCCCCTGTATACATGGAGGGATGCAAGGAAGAAGAGGCTGTCATCTTCAGGCCAAAGAAAAAGGTTGGGGACCATGGCTCTAGACCATGACAACAACTCTAGCTCCTGCAATGAGGTTGCAAGAGAACCTGAGCTGCCCATGGCAGGGGGATGGAACTGGATGATCATAAGTTCCTTCCCAACCCAAACCATTTTTGATTCTACGATCTCACAGTCCCTGCTGTGGAAAGACCAGGCTCTTGCTCTCTCCCCTTCCTCTTTGCCCTCTCCCTTCTCTCTGTACCTGACCCTCCTCACTCCTGCTGCCTCTGCCCATCACAGGGCTCCCCATCCATGAGGTGGCCATGGCATTCAGCCATGGCCCAGCCCCTCAGCCAATTCAACTCATCATTCAGACCAAAAGGTGTTGGTAGAAAGCACCCAGAGTGGGACATTAAGAAACAGGGACTATTATTATCATTGTCAGTAGCACTACTATATGAATACTTCATACATTTTAACACTTGTTATTAGTAAGGTTCTTTCATCTACTGTAATTCTGGTTAGTAGTCAGATGAATTACTGTAGCAATATTTTACCCTGTGTGTGAGTAAAAAAGTAAAGAAAAATTAATCCAAGATGAAACAACAATTTAAAACTATTCCTGTTTTTTTTTTATTTTAGAGCTCCATGACTTTGTTATGATCTTCACCCAGAACTGTAATCTCTTTATTTCAGGATCACTCAAGCATAGCAGCGGTTCTAAATTCAAAGCATATGCCTCACCAAAAAGAAAAGTGAAATTACATTGTATTATACAAATAATGCAGTATAATATTAATGGCTCCTCCATAAAACAGTTCTGGATTCTGTAGTTTATGTGAGTTAAGAGTTCATTTTTACTTGAATAAAAAGATTAGATGTTAAATCAGGAAATATTCCCTTGGGGGGGGGGGGGGGGGGGGAATTAAACCTGAGGCTACATTTTAATTACTTTGTCCTTCTAAAGAAACACATGAAAATATTATTACTATTAATAATAACAATGAGAAACCTAAGCAGACGTTTCTGAAAAAGTATAGAAAAAAAAGTTGTACTAATTACATAAGAACAAATATGGAATATTCCTTCTCCTTGTGGCTATATGGCTTTTATCTGTATTCCAAAAAAGGCTTTAAAAGTGTTGTTCAAGAAAAGCTGGAAACTGTTCTGGCCATTTTAAGGTAAGATGCTGTCTACAGTGAAAGACTATGAAAACTAGCACATTGTAACAATGCGAGAAGCAAATACTTTGAACTCAACGATTAGCAGAGAAAGAACATTTGGAAGAGTATTTACAGTTCATTCAGCCAATACCTAGATAGATCCTGTTCTGCCTCACCACTGGAGGAAGACAAGCTCATTAAAGAAACTGCTGCATACACATGGGGCTTAGAAACCTTTCTCCTAGTCCTTCAGCACTGAAAAGGACTGAAGGCTGGAGAAGGCTGAGGTTCTCAATGACTTTGCCTCAGTCTTCACCGGCAAAGGCTCTGACCACACCACCCAACTCTTGGAAGGCAGGCGCGGGGACTGTGAGAATGAAGATCTTGGGCCCACTGTAGGAGAGGATCTGGTTCAAGACCATCTTAAGAACCTGAAGGTGCACAAGTCCATGGGACCTGATGAAATCCATCCATGGGTCCTGAAGGAGCTGGCGAATGAAGTTGCTAAGCCACTGTCCATCGTATATGAAAAATCCTGGCAGTCAGGTGAAGTTCCTGATGACTGGAAAAAGGGAAATATAACCCCCATTTTCAAGAAGGGGAAAATGGATGACCGAGGGAATTACAGACCAGTCAGTCTCACTTCTGTGCCTGGCAAAATCTTGGAGCAGATTCTCCTGGAAGGCATGCTAAGGCACATGAAAAACAACAAGGTGCTTGGTTACAGCCAGCATGGCTTCACTAAGGGGAAATCCTGCCTGACCAATTTGGTGGCCTTCTATGATGGGGCTACGGAACTGATGGACAGGGGTAGAGCAGTTGATGTCATCTACCTGGACTTGTGCAAAGCATTTGAGAATGTCTCGTATGACATCCTTGTCTCTAAATTGGAGAGACATCAATCTGATGGATGGACCACTCGGTGGATAAAGAACTGGATGGATGGCCACACACAAAGAGCTGTGGTCAATGGCTCAATGTCCGGCTGGAGACCAGTAACGAGTGGTGTCCCTCAGGGATGGGTGTTGGGATCGGTCTTGTTCAACATCTTTGTCGCTGACATGGACAGTGGGATTGAGTGCACCCTTAGCAAGTTTGCCGATGACACCGAGCTGTGTGGTTCGGTTGATACCCTGGAGGGAAGGAATGCCATCCAGAGGGACCTTGACACGCTTGTGAGGTGGGCTGATGCCAACCTCATGGAGTTTAACCATGCCAAGTGCAAGGTCCTACACCTGGGTCGGAGCAATCCCAGGCACAGCCACAGGTTGGGGGCAGAGAAGAGATTCAGAGCAGCCCTGCGGAGAAGGACTCGGGGGTGTTGGTTGATGAGAAAATGAACATGAGCCGGCTTCAGTGTGCGCTCACAGCCCAGAAAGCAACCGTATCCTGGGCTGCATCAAAAGGAGCGTGACCAGCAGGTCAAAGGAGGTGATCCTGCCCCTCTACTCTGCTCTTGTGAGACCTCACCTGGAGCATTGTGTGCAGTTCTGGTGTCCTCAACATAAAAAGGACATGGAACTGTTGGAACAAGTCCAGAGGAGGCCACGAGGATGATCAGGGGACTGGAGCACCTCCCGTATGAAGAGAGGCTGAGAAAGTTGGGGCTGTTCAGCCTGGAGAAGAGAAGGCTGCGTGGAGACCTCATAGCAGCCTTCCAGTATCTGAAGGGGGCCTATAGGGATGCTGGGGAGGGACTCTTTGTTAGGGACTGTCGTGATAGGACAAGGGGTAAGGGGTTAAAACTTAAACAGGGGAAGTTTAGATTGGATATAAGGAGGAAGTTCTTTACTGGGAGGGTGGTGAGGCACTGGAATGGGTTGCCCAGGGAGGTTGTGAATGCTCCATCCCTGGCAGTGTTCAAGGCCAGGTTGGACGAGGCCTTGGGTGATATGGTTTAGTGTGAGGTGTCCCTGCCCATGGCAGGGGGTTGGAACTAGATGATCTTAAGGTCCTTTCCAACCCTAAATATTCCATGATTCTATAATTCTATGAAAAAACGTTATTTTTTAAATATACAAATCACAGTCATTTTCACATATCCCACGTCTTCTCTCACACCTATCACTCCCTCCTCTGATGTTCCTGTGCATTCTAGCACCTAGCACAGGCTTTTGGCAGCTAGATGTTGAATTGCTCTTGAAGACGTTTCAGCTGTTACTAGTGACCATCAGGACACAAAGCTGGTAAGGAGTAAAGTCACAACCAGCTGAAGTAAAGTCACCCCTTCCTGAACTACAGACTGCTAAACCATGCCTGAAAAGGCGTTAAGGATACACCACTATAAAGACAGCTCCATGCACCTACACTCACTGATAATCTCATTCCATCTTCTTGAAAGATGGTTACTGTTCAAAGACCAGATTACCACCATAACTCATCACACTGCACCTTCCACAGAGAACACTCTTCAATGGAGACTGCCTCAAATCAGCTGGCTGGAAAATCAGGCCCAAATATTGGATATTTTTTCACAGAAATATGGATACAGTACATGTATTCACACATCCACTATGGATGAATAGAACACAATTGTTTCAGATTCTCAAAAATGGTCTCATGGTTTGTCAGTTAAAAAAAAAGGTTTATATTCACCACATGCTCACAATTTTTATCATTAATCTTTAATGACAGCTCAAATCTACAGGCTTATAAATATATATTTTCATAATTGTGACAACCAGTGACTAGATGCGGTTTTGGTGGAAAATCATCTGAAATACTGTAAGGCTAGGTAAATTACAAGGCAATATTATAAAACACTGATGTTGAATTTTTGGTGATATTACTTTTACAAACATTAGAAACAAACATTACTTGGTGAAATACAAACATTGCAGAAGAAACTACAACCAAAAGTAATTTACCAGTTAAATACACAGTTAGAAACAATTTTCATTTTTAAACAAAGTCAAGGTAAATCAAAGAAACAGTAATAAAAACCGTCTTCAACAGACAGCATCTCCCTTACAGAGAGAAGTAGCTTGTGTAACACCATAAAGGAGGGGATGGGTTTCTTTAAATCCTTCCAAGAACAGTAACTTTCTGTCACAGCAGTCATTTTTCCCCATTACAACACGGATTCATGTCCAGATGTAGGCAGGTTTTGCACCCAGGTAGAGATCATTTTGTATCAGCCTTAAAATGCATTAAGTTCACATCAGGGTGCACTTCCATGAAGCCAATTGCAAGATGTACATGTATGCTTGCTATACCAGAGCTTAGAAACTGGACTTGAAGTAACCCCAACTGACTTTAGTTTTAATATTTTTCATCAGCTTTATAAACAAATCTTAGCTTTTTGAGTTTAAAAGCATAATACAATTTGGCTTATTTTAAAGACACAAATACAAAAAAAATTATAACTCACAACAGTAACACAACTTTTTGTCCTAGAAGTGATAAAGAGTGAAGTATAACATGTGAGACTTCATTACCCAATTTTATGAAATATTGTCTTCTTACTGTCATTCAGAGGACTATGATTATGATCTAGTGAAGTCAGATCGGACAAGAAAGAGCCTAACAATATAACACTATTTGAGACATACAGTTTCCTTACTGACACTTTAAACATAATATTTTATAGACAACACACCAATACATCAACTACACCAATCAAGTTAATTTCTAAAAAACCAGGTGCACCATAATATTGCATAGAAAGAAATCCCCAGCATTAATACACTTGCACTGAAGACCAGGATTTTCTCCCTGCCTTACTAAATCAAAGCACATATGTTTTATTAAAGCATATCTCACATTTGCCATTTGTCTTAGCTATATTCTTTGGAATCGCTAGTGTATATTATTTCAAGCACATTTTTATTCTGCATGCTGTTGTTATTAAAAAACTAAAATTGAAAGGAAAATGGTCTTCCTGTCTTATCCCCTTAAAAATGTAATGTAAAATAATCTTCCTATGTCACATAAAAATAAAATCAGACCTTTTTCAGTAACAGAAAGCCCAAACAAAACCCAGGATAGCTGAATGAGGTGGATATTCATATACAATATGTATGAAATCCAGGGTCAAAAATCCTCTCTGTAGAATAATTTAACAGATGTATTTATAAATTGGCTAAACCAATAGCCCGTGGTTTTATAGCTCAGTATTCATTTTGATCATGGAAGACATACATTCAAGTCCATACACTGATTTAGGAAGTACTCTGACCACTTAACTATTTTAGGGCAATTCTCTCATATAAGCTGAACCTGAGAAAACCTTCCTATTGACACAGGTATGTTTCCCTGAACATGTTTCATTTTAGAGATGTCACCATCTTCCATTTTAGAAAAACACTGATCAGTTCTGCGTAAGGCTAGGGTTCTGTATTTTACAGCACAAACGTCTGTATTTACTCCCTACCTTAAACTACTTGTTCGAAAAACCTTAATTTCAGTGCTCAAAAATATTTTCATTTCAGTAAGTAATCCCTTCTTGCATTCAGAATAGGTACATGTGAAGTGCATACAGGAAACAGAATTAGTTTATGGAGATTTGCCAAAAAAGCCATGCAGTATAACTGGAAGGTAAAAGCCATTTTCTTCAGATATTCCTTACAGTGAGCACTTTCATCTCATGTTATAAACCGTGCAGACAGATTAAATCCATCCAAAAGTTTTCATGGTATGCATTATGCAGCATCAGATACATAGCAGTAAAAGCTGAACAGTCCATGTCTCCACAAACAGAGTTCATAAAAAACTAGAACTTCTGATTTCAGATAGAATATATATTCATAATATCTGTGTAAGAGGTTAATATATACAATAAATATATTTTGTTATATTAACTATAGTCACAGTTTTGGGTTTTTTTTACTTAACTACATTAACTGTAGAGGTGTACCAGGAAGACAGATTTCTGACTGTAATTTATTTCACTGTAAGATAGGAAAATATTAGCAAATCCTTCTGGCTGTTACAGATACAGGATTTCTGGCACAGCTGAAAATGTATCATGAATTAGAATTATTATATTTTTAGTACAAATTTCATTTTAATGACAAAAACATTATTGGACTTTTGGAGAACTAGGGAACCCATGAGATTTCTTCCTAGGAAATGTTGAAAGGCACATAAAAATTTCAATCTATATTTGATATTATGTTAAAAAGCAGGTTCTAAGTATTTCTGTAGGTTACATTAAAATATACGATTAGAAGATTGCCTGTTGATGCTATGGAAAAGCATTTCATGTCTCTGTAAAGAGATCATGTGTACGCATGAACAGGCATTTGTTCATTCAAGTGATACATTTTTCCTTCACATATGCTGAAACAACAAAAAGTGTGCACTGATTTTCTTGCACACATATCTGCATCAAAATGTTACCTGCTAATGGTAAAATGACAAAAATATATTTTACCTGAAAGTATGTGCATTTATTAAAAATGAGTGCAACAGTTTCAATTACTGATTTTATGCTAGTAAATAATAATATGTTTAGCTAGCTGAAATTCCATTTGCAGTCACTTAATTGTTCTGATTCCTTTTAGGATTTCTAACAATATAGGTAAAATTCAAAAATACTGCCATGAAAGGCATAGAATCCCATGCAAAATATCTACCAATTTTGGTGTGAAGCAGCAAACATCAATGTATATCAGACATACAGTACAATTTGACCCACTGTATAAAGTATCTTTATAGTGGACATAAAACACCGTGGCACATCTCATAGAGCTACAACTTTGCACAATTAATGACAGACACATTTTTACATCCACAGAGACATTAGCAATGAATAACTCACTTAAAAGTGAAGTACACAACCTAAGGATTATTTCCTTGCCTAAACCATTCTAGTATCACTTGGAAAGGAAGGTGGCACAGGCTCTATTCATGCATATAAAAAGAGCTGACATATTCTCCAGAAAAAGGTTGGCTTGAAAATTTTCACATATTTTGCTTTGCCTGTGACAGTGCATTTTGTGGAACTATATTCTTTAGAAATGTGATATTAAAAAGTTGGTTTGCTCCAGCTCCTGTTAAAATGATTGCTGTCTCATAAACTTGAACACTATCCTCTCCAGGTTTTCCTCCTCAGAGTCACCAGTTATGTAAATATTATATAATTATTCTTTTGAATTCTTATTTCATCTCCACTGATCGTAATACTTCCAGCAAGCCACACATAGATAACATCAGGTTGAAGTCTAAAGGACTGGAAACTGTACATGCATTCTGCTGGGGGGAAAACAATCACAGTCATTGCAACTGAACACTGAATAAGTGTTTGGAAATCTGAATAAATCTCAAATGGAAATAGATTAATATGATAGAAGTGAAAAATATGTACTCAAAGCAGGGCAGCTTTGACACATACCTGATAAATTTCTATTAAAACACTGCAAACTTCTTCCACAGACTTCATTAACAACCTTCTCCAGTCAAAGCTGACCAGGCACCACCTTACCTTTCCAGACTTTAAAAAGCAGGTGTTTAGAAATGCTTCCAGGAGGCCATGTCTTTTACTGGACTTGCACATATCGATAACCTGTGATCATGTTCAAACCCATATTGTTACTCACAAAATTTAGTGATGAGGACAGGCTTAACTGCTTGAGACTCTGTTTTGCAAAATGCTGCTCTGGTACTCTGCATCCTCAAAATGGTTAATATTCAGACCCGTGTATAACAAAAGGGGGAATAAATTATAGAGCAACAATCCCTGAACAGAATTACAAAGCCATAGCTCAATTCTGCCTCGAACATTTCAACAGAGACCAAGATTAATTTCACCTAAGCCATGATAAAAAGCAGGGTAACTCAACAACTTGCTAGTGTACTTGATGCACGTACATCCATGTAGGTACTCCAGATTCAAAGAGTTTAAGCCACAGTTGCTATAAGGAGATTTTTAAATGCTTACATACCTGCAGATGCTGCACAAATCAAACTGACAATGACAACTGCCATCCACTGGAAGATAATTTTGAAGTTCTAGAATTAGAGTTACTGTTAAAAATGGTTTTAGCACCACTTGTATTTCTAAAGCCATTAAAACAGTAGAAAAGACATCTTGTTAAATCTTAATCTAAAATGCATAGAAACTCTTTATTTCTCCAAGTGTTTTCATCAATTTGCATAACAGCTATGGGTGTTGGGGTAAAACTTTTGGGGTAGAATAGCCAAGCAAAACATGTTTTGGAAAGCTACAACACTAAATAAAAAGACGCTATGCTCTATTTCCACCAGATTTCAAAGTGCTTTCAAATGGAGACAAGTCTTTTTCCTTCTCTCCAGTATTAAGGCTCTTGTAAAAAAAATAGGTTTAACTAAAAGACACTTGGCTTTCTTCATCAAATACACCACTTAATATGCTTTAATCATGAACGTTTTGAAACCCTAATTCTGCAGTTTTAGCTTTATAAATGTGTACCAGCAACATAGAGGATTACTTTATTATGAGAGAGGGGCCTTAATATTCTAAACTATTAAATACTCAGTAGATGCTTACCACACATTTGGTTTATATTCTCTATTAAAAAAGCTGGGATTAGAAAACTGACTAGGGATTTTAAACCAAGTTAATAATACCACAGAAAGTAGTTTTGCTATTATTTCTATTAAATCAGAACTTAGAAACATTAAATGAAACACTCTTTTCCCATCAAGTTTCCAGACCTTTTTTCCCCCCAGAATTTATTAGGGTAATTATCCTGACTAAATCAGACCCTCAGGAGACAAAAGTGCTTCTCAATTCCCACTGAAGTCAAAAGGTTCTATGAGAACGTGACATTACTCAAGATGTCTGGGACACATAACCCTTTTGCAGAACACAAAAATGCAGTTAAAAACCACATTTAATTCCTAAACAATCTACAAAAGATCCAAGACTTTAAAGGCCTGATCTGACAGCCCTTCATAATCAGAAGATCACTCTGACATTGGTTTTACCACTCTCAGATATCGTATTTGTAGAGGTCCCTCTCCTGCAAAAACATGCACTCAGATTTGGCAGCAGCACAACCTGTGTTCAGCTAAACTCCTGAAAAAACAAGTTTAAAAGGGAAAATACTATTTACTGCTAATGAAATGCTAATTTAAAATATACCTTTGAAGGCAGAAGTCAACATGCTCTGTAATTTTTATTGACATATTTTTTATATGGCAAGCTATGGCTTTCCTCCATTTGAATGACTAAATTTAGGCAGTTTTGTGAAATCTGCAACTTACTACAATTATTATGAAACATTTCAAGCATTTGTTTTTCAGAAAGTAGGCTACTGCACTGATGCCGTGGCACTAGAAATTCAACTAAACTGTTAACAGGAATAGAATGGAAAGTCTTGGGATGTAGACTGGAATTATGACTTCAGCTCTTGCAATCTCTAGTTCCTTTGGTGCAATTCCACACCCTTCCCACTGTCCCAAGATCAAGCACCTTCATGGAATCGATCTTACTGAAACAAGCAGATCCTGACAAACCTTTATGACAACATACCATATGAATTTTAAAACAGAACACTTGCTTTTTAAAATCCCTCAGTGTGTTGCATTTCAGTTAGTGTGTGACGTTATTTTGCTTTTCTAAATAAGTTTAAATGCATGAAACGGGGTTCAAAATAAGAAAAAAAGTAAAACTATAATTAATCCCATCAATCACCTTCACAGCATGATGTAACATAGCTAGACCTGGGGGCATCCGTACTCATGTGTCTTTGGGTTCAAAACTGCAATCTGACCCTTAACCCTGCCCTATCAGGCCCACCCCACACGAGTGGGTCACGGAGTGGAACACGGATCCAGCCGCCCGCCGGAGCCGGGCTTTGCTTAAGCAGGATTAGGGAAGGAAAGCGGCTGGGCGATGCCCTCCGACACTGCCCTGCGCGTTACACAGCCTGACCCTGCTGAGGGGGCTGCAACGGGTGCTGACCGGCAGCGTGCGCCTGTACCCGCGGATCCTGGTCCTCACCAGGGAATTCTGTCAGTGCCCTGCGGCCCTCACTGCCCTTCCTCCCCTCTCTGGAGAGAGCCGCGGTGCACCGGGAGACCAGGGAGGAAACCGGCTCCCCCCTGGAGCCGCTGCGGCAGCCCGGAGGGCATCCCCTCGGGCATTCATCCCCTCGGCATTGCTGGCGGGATAGAGGATATAAATTACCCGTCTGTAAACAGAATTCAGGAAGGTACCTCCCGGTGACTAACAGAGAAGCGGCGCCTGCGCTGGGCCGCGGACCCCGGGTGGGCAGAGAGCCGGCCAGGCCGGAGAGGCGCCGAGCGCTCCCGTGACGGGAACCCGCCGTGCCTCAGCCTTCCGCGAGACCGGCCAGCCGGCCCCGGGGCTGCGCGCTCCCTCCGCGCCTCAGATGAAGTGGATCCAGGCGGAGCTGTCGGGGTCCTGCAGCGGGCCGGTGGCGGGGGGGCCGCGCTGCCGGCCCCGCAGCCGGTAGTTCTTGCCCTCGTTGTTGTCCCAGTACTCGGCGCCGGCGACTCGGTAGCGGACGGCGAACTCCAGCACGGCCTCGGCGGCGGCGGCGGCAGCGCCCAGGGTCAGGAGGAAGGTGAAGCGGTCGGTGATGCCGTCCGCCGGGCCGGGTGCCTGGTAGGCAGCGGGCACCTCGGCGCAGCTGGCCCAGCTGTTGAGCGTGTAGCGCACCGTTACGGCCTTCTCGTAGGCGAGGTTGAGGACGCGCACGGCTCCGCGCAGCCCCGCCGGCTCGGCCCGCACCCACTCCAACCTCACCTTGTGCTGCCGCACCCGCTCCGTGAAGCCGGGGCTGGAGCCGGGCTGCGGCGGGAAGAGCGGTTCCAGCAGCGGCGGCGGCGGGCCGAACAGCACCGGCTCCAAGTCGCCCAGCGCCGGTGGCTTTCTGGTCTTGAAGAGGTCTGCGGTGCGCGGCGGAGCGGGCAGCGGCACCTGCGGCAGGTCGGCCTCGCAGAAGTGGCGCACGGAGGTGAGCTCCAGGCCGAGGGAGTCGGCGAACCGCACAGTCTTGCGGCGGGACGGACTCTGCTGCAGCGCCGGGCGCAGGCTGCGGTCGCCGGGCGTGGGCAATGACTTGGCGCGGCGGCGCTGCGTGGGGCTGGGCGGCACGGCGGGGAGCGCGGGCTCTCGGCCGCGGGGCTGTGGCTTCGGCTTCTCGTCCGCCGCTTCCCGCACCACGGGCGGGGGCACAGCGTCGCCGTCGGGGCTGCAGCCCGCCCTGCACTGCTCGGCCAGGCTGCCATAGAGGCAGGCGCTGCAGCTGAAGTTGCGAGGCAGGTAGAGCCGAGGAGGAGGTGTGGGCACCGAGGTGTGCAGCGAGCCCGCCTTATCCATGGGGGAGCCGGTGGGAGCGGCGGCTGTGCCGGCGGCTGGCGTAGGACCCGGGGCCCACTGCCCGACCGGGGCTCCTCCTCTCGGGCCGCTGCTTGCGGATGGCGAGGCGGTCTAGAGCCCGGGCCGCGGGCTTTGCCTCTCGCCTAGACCCGGTGTCAGTGGGATGACCTCGGCGTTGTCCCCGTCGCTGCCGGCCCCGGGGACTGCCGGAGGGTGCATGTGTCCGCTGGAGGCGGCGGGACCGCGGCGCTCCGGCGGCTGCCGCTGCTGACGTGCAGGGGTCAGGCAGCGAAATACGCCCCGAGTCATCCCTCTTCCTCCCCCATCGCGCCGCTCTCCCCAGCCGCCCCTCTGCCCGCCCGGGGATCGTCCTCGCCACCTTCCCTAATTGCACTCCGCCGGCGGCAGGCTCCTCTCTCACGGCGGCTCTCACTGCCCGCTCTCCCCAGTACCGCGGCTACACCGTCCCCCTCCTCCTCCTCCTCCTCCTCCTAGCTGTGTTCTGGGTCTTTCCTCGAGGAACTCATACAGAAAGCGGAGGCGGGAGGGATTTCCCCGTGGAAGCATTAAAATTCATCACGGCGCTGTCGCTCGTCCGATCCGTTACAGAAATAGCCGCTGAAGGAGGACGCCGAGCCGGGCTCTGGAAGGTTACATGGGCCAGTAAGAAAGAGCTGGCTCGCAAGCTGGACCTCGCAGTGTACATTTAAAGGAAGAAATCCAGCTAATCTGCTGTAATGCGTTTACAGTACATCTGCTGAATAAAACATGCCTGCCGCAGCCCTCCTGTAGATTTACATCTGCAGTCGAAGTGGCTGCAGCCTAAACACGGAAGATGGTTCTGCACCAGAACCGCCTCTGCTCTTTTCAAAAGACTATTTGATAATTGCCAAGCGAGTCAAGTGAATTAAAGCTTAATGAAAAGCAGAATCTGATGCAGCCAGTTCAAGGAGCTAAACACTATTTTAGTAAGCCGCTTCATTCCAGACTTCCCATAATCTGGTACTCATTTTTAATTAGTAAATTGCATTAAAAACAATGATCCTACCATCCTGCCAGAGACTGAGCCTGACCTGTGTTGACGTCTGATTCTGATTTAGCTTCTGGGCAGGAGCTTTTACACCTTCATTTTATCTGCAGCACTTGGTGTTCCTTTGAAAGTCTAGGCAGAGGAAATGAAGCTGATGAAATTAAGTATGGAACAAGTAAACCCCAAGAGTTAAAGAAAGAGTCACTAGAACACAAGGAAAATCTCCCTACTGGCTCATACTAGAACTATCAGCTTCAATTCCCTTATTAAAAAGTAGAAAACAATTCCTAGGTTATTGCTGCTGGGTTCCAAATCTTTTTAATGACAGACAGTTCCTAAGCAGCGAATGAAAAATGATGCCCCGCAGTGGTAAACTTGACATCATTACGTTTCCCAGTGATTTGTCATGTCATTTTGTCACATTCATGGGATGATCATAGGTTTTGAAAAATCAGGTAGGAATGACATAAAGAATTACATCTGAATTTGTTAGCTCAGGATCTTAAAATTGTCTCACTCGTCTTTTAATGCACACTACAGGAAAGATTCGTTAGTCCTCCTTCCTATGCTTCCCTTTCAGGAAAAAAAACATGATGGTGTTTTGTCTACTCATACTGATCTGGGGGAGAAAAAGAACAGACCCAGAGAATTGTTCGAACAGGCTTTAATGCTACGTATTTTGAGCTATTTTTTAGTAATTTCCATCTGTCATAATGAAAACTTTCTAAGGAATTAACACTTGGTTTTGCTGATGCTAATTTCATTTTAAAACCAGGAAACAGTAAGAAAATGTGAAGGCTTTGCATTTTTAAACTGTTGTGAAACTAACTGAACTAACAAGATAAATCAGCTTAAATTTGATTACACATTCAGTCAGTTTTGAATACGTGCATATGAGGAACATGAATTTGGAGTAGTTTAACATGTTACAGTTATACTTTACACAATTGGGGTGCCTTTGCAGAGGCTGACTTCCCTTCTGGTAATTTCAGTTGCCCAACTTCTCCGTATCATAAACTTGTGTAATACTCCTGCTTTTTGTCTTTTCCAGACCTTCTCTTTTCTCTCAAAATCTGGGTAATATTTAATGGAAAAAAAAAAAGAAAAAGCAGCTCCTTTCTTCACTGGTGATTGTAGGTGATGTACCTCATAATTCAGTTGGAAATGCAGATTCCCCAAAGTTAGTTACCCAAAAAGTGGAATAAAAAAAAATTGAGAAAATCCTGTGATAAGTAAAACTAAATAAACCAACACACTTAGCTTTGGACCAGCCAGGTCAAGGCAAAATGAGATGCAGATGAACACCCATATAAACTGATTGACTTGATGAGAAGTCAGAAATTTCAATTAAGTTCAGCTCTTGTCATCTTCAGGCAAAACCTGATGGTTCTTTGGCTTTGCAAGAGAATGAAAATACTCAGTGGGCATGTGGATAGTAGAGAAAAGGACAGAAAGAGACTTGATATAAATGCATGCCCACTGTACATAATTCCACTGGCAATCCTTGTGGAGTAGAGTGGAAGAAAGCCACTTACAAGCTTTCAAAAGATCAGAATGAAATACTACTTAAATTCAAACATCAATTCACCAGCTAATCATGCAGGAGCTCAAAATTCCACCTGCATTTTCCCTGTGACACCTCAAGTTCTGGCACACAGGGGCACCTCAGCCTTGTCTCTGTGGAGCATTGTCCCCGTGTAAACTCCACCAGAATCCATAGTGAAAGCATTTCTCTCTTTTTTTTTTTTTTCTCTTGATCTGAACATTCCCAGCTTATCTCACTGAATCTGCTTTCTTTTACTCTCTTGCTTACTTGCCAAGGGTAGAGCTGTGGGAACTCTTCCCCACACCTGCCACTAATGAGGGTGTCCTTATTACTAGGCTGGTCTTCTACCTCTGCCTCTGTTGAATTTAAGATAGATATAGTAAATGCAAGTTTCTAGCACTGAAATGTAACAAACATACACACAGACATTCTCTCAAATAGCCTGCAGCCTTGTTCATCCTGTGATGTGAAAGCTGTCTACAAGTTCAAAACGGGAAGCATTTGACACCATTTGTAAAAGGAAGTTCTTTTGGTTTTGCCTACTGTAAATGTTTGTACACAGAAAATGTTTAAACCCTTGGAAGCAAGGAAGGACTACCACACATACAGAAACCACAGCTTAATATATGCAGCAATATGCATCCATCCACAGCGCGCACACACACACACCGGCTTAATTTAGTTCACAAAATTTGGGACATGTAAGTTTAAAAATTTAATCTATCTGTTCATTTATCATGCTCTACTAAGATAATTATCCAAGGTTCTTTTCTAAAGAATACTGTAAATATCCAAGCTGACAAAGAAATTGCTAGTACTGACCTAGCTAGCACCTTTAAAGAAACACCTGCTGTCTTTCCACTGGGAAATAATATTTTTATGACAGGATAATTCCAGGAGGAATAGAGCAGCGGTAATGTAAATTCTAGAGCTATACAGTGTTGCTGTGTTAGAGGGTAAGAAAAGCAGGAGGTCTTACATCACAATTAGTGTCAACAGACATCAGAACTGGCACTCAGGCATTGTTTTCATTCCTTCAGATTCCTCTCCTTTGCAGATTTAAATACCATAGTCATAGGATAAAAGTTTGTCGTAATAACATTGTCCTAACAACATTTTGTTGACCTGTTTGAATCTTGCCGCTGACATCAAGAATTTTAGAGACAGCCTCTTGTTCTGCACATGTAGCACTGAATGACCCTGACATTTCTGCTGTGCCAAACTGCATTTGAAGTCCATCTGATACCTGAGAATTTCCAGCTAGTTGAACAGAGATGTATGGTTCCCTCTTTTTTTTTAAGATTTAAAAGATTCACAAATGCAGGCAATGAACTGGGAGCTTTCTTCTGTGGAATTCATCAATTGTCTTGATTCCAGGTACTCTTAAGAGAAAGCAGATGCTAGTGCTGGGGAGCATTAAGCAGAACGACAATGGAACCATTAATAGGGAGGCTTGTCTGAGTGCTGGGGCTTATCCAAAGTGGCCATTGTCACATGTCCACTTTAACTTTCCAGAACAGGTTTATTTTTAGTAATGAGAATTGTAGGAAGATAAAATGGATGTAAAGGCGAAGTGCATTACAATTATGTCAGCTCTCGAGATGCAGTTGTGACTCAGTGTGCAAATTGGAAAGGTCAGCTCCTACTCTCATTTGTATGTGCACAGCTTTCCCAAAGCTCATGAACTATGTAGGTGTTACACTGGAGTTTCATCCGTGAGTTTAATAATCCTACATGACTCCGTGAATCTGACAATTGTATTTACACTGACAGTTTGTAAGCCTTGCGTGAGACACTCATTCTGCGTGCTTACACTTTAACATACCTTCCCACACTGTTTCACATTAACAATTAACTCAGACTTCATTTATTTCCTCAGAAAAATATCTTAGTCACATCTCAGAGAAGTGCCACATTAGAACTAGGTAATATGCCTAATGCATATAAGAAAAAAAAATAAAAATTAAGTATTCTGTTAAAGAACAACGGTATCGATCTTCTCTACCAAATACCATCTTCACCTAACCAGGATGCACAGTCTTTAGCAAGATGAAAGTTGCATGATTCACAGACTTGTATCAAGGACATTTGATGTTAAAGATGAGTGAATAATTTCCAAAGGGCTGCGAGTTCTGCTGAACAGAGATGTGACATTTGGGAGGGTGCTTTGTGGTTGTGTTTTGGCTTGTGGGTTTTTTGGTTTGTTTTAAATATAGGGATCCAAGTGAAGATGCAATATTTACAAGAAAATAGAACTGTAAGAGTTTACCTCAGTTCATGACCTTGTGAATCTGCCTTACTGTATGAGGAAGCTCACACAATTTTATTAGTTAAGCATTAACCATGTCTGTTGATGCTAAGTGATTGGCTTAAGACTTCTGGAGAGACCATAAGCTAAAAAAAGCCCTAGTTAAGACTACAGTAGAAAACTAAAAAGAACAACCGAACAGACGTATCTCGTTATGTGGAGAAAATTATGAAGGGAATTTAAAGTATTTTTCTCATATAAATAGTTCCGCTGTCTTTAAAAGGAAGGAATGTTTTTAACAAGGATTAAGCAACAACCAGCAGGACGGGGACTCTTTCAGTCCTAGAACTTTTAACAGATTTTCATGCAAATAATTGAGTAAACGCACTTCAGGATCTCCTCAGATCCCATCTGGTAAGAGCACGTGTGACTCAGTCTTCATGCCATGTTGTAAAATACCCACAGGAATCCCTAGCAACTGCAGATGACCTCAGTAGTGCTAGTTAATGATTTCAGGCATGAAAACATGCTCATTGTATGCCTGATTTTCATTTCCTTTTTTTTTTTTTTTTTCATATTTAAAGATCTACTGGTCAGGTAGTGATTCACTGATTATTTAGATTAGGGGCTTGGAACTAGATGATCTTAAGATCCTTCCAACCCTAACTATTCTATGATTCTACTATTCCTTTTATTGTAAGATAATTTTATCTCCTCATATTTTATTTGTTCTTTTCTTCAGCTTCCTCAGGGTTTGTCTTCCCCTTTCCCCCACATTTGGTCATTTCACATCCATTTTTCTCATATGCATTCCTCTCTTCCTAGTCACATTTTCAGCCTCTGTACAGGCTCTCTCTTTCCTTCTGCTCTTTCCAGCACTATTCCCGGTTTTTTTTTTTGCCCCAAACTTCCCGATTCTGTCGTTTCTCCCACTTGCCATTCTGGGGCTGGTGGTTCCCGAACGCCTGTCATTAACCTTCACAGTCCTTCTCCACTTTGCACCTCAGGACCGCGGCTGGAAACGAAGCTGTGTCACTTCCATGCAAACCGCAGGGCCCCCAGGGTAACGAATGCGAGCTCGGGAGGGCGCTGAGGAGCTGCCCCGCGGCCCCCACTGACCGGACACCTCCAGCGCGCCATGGCGGCACTCCCTGCCACAGGAGGCCTCAGGGCGGGCCCGCCATTTCCGCACAGCCCGCCGCGTTGCCGGGGTAACGGCTGGGCGCGGGAGGGCGCCCCCCGCGGCCTCAGGCAGGGAGCGGAGCGGCGCCCCCGGGCTTCAAATCACTTCTGAAGAGACATTCGGGGGCTTTCTACGTCCTGCCTTTTACATCCATGGTGAAGGAAAGGGGTGAAGACAACCGCCCTCTGAGATACTGAGGG